CACATTTTAAACTAATTTAAAGAGAGCAAGAGATGATCAGTTTGACCTGTATGAATGTTTTGGTCCTGTTGGCGCATAATTTCATAAGTTTCATAACGTTTAACTCTATTAGGTTCTCCAAAATGTTTCTTTCCTTTTATTAGTAAATAATATATATGCATTGTTCTATGTTTTATGTTACATTATTGAGTTTTATACGATTTCACTCTGTTACCTTTCTACCTGCCACTAGGTGTACCATAATGCCATCTTTCAGACAATTTTGTGGTTTGTTAACTAAACATCAATTTCAAGTGCTCTTGTATATCATTTATTAAACCTTCTATCATGAAGAGAAGAATGCTCTTTGGAGAAAAAATTATGATAAGAAATAGAATGTAATAAAAATATTGAACAGGTACGGTACTGTGTAAAAGTCCTAGGCTACTTATGGCACAATACATCTTTTACAGGGTAGAGTCACCTAAGATTTGTACCTAAAATATCTCCATTGTTTTTAATGATATGAAGGTATTTCCCCCTTAAAACATCACTTCAGTAATAGTAATTTGTTTAAATCTACTGTTCACCATTTCATTATCCTGATGAAATTTCCAAATATTCTAAACATTACCAGCTAATCCAAATCTAGTGTTAAACATTTCATTAGCCTGATGAAATTTCCAAATATTCTAAACATTACCAGCTAATCCAAATCTAGCGTTAAACATTTCATTAGCCTGACAAAATTTCCAAATATTCTAAATATTTTCAGCTGTCACCGGAGTATCTATCAATCCTGCAGCAATACAGGCAAGACCAGCCTCAACCAGCTCCGCCTCAACGCAGACCACAGCCAGCCTACGCAAGGCAGCAGCAGGCCTTGCAACAAGCCTACTACAACTACCGAAAACCAGCGGTGGTTCCCCCGAGGCCGCGTCCTCAGCTTCATCCTCAGGCTTTGGCTCAGGCCGAAGCAGCCGCGGATATCCAAGCCCAAGTGGACGCTCAGAACCGCGCCGAAGCCATTCGCACAGCCCGATTAGGCTCGAATCCACCTGAACCTAACGAATACCAAGGTCCATCCTACACTCAATCAAAGTTGGGAACGTTCGAGCAAGAACTGTTGCAATTGGTAACTGCAAACCAAGCTCAAGAGTTCAAGTTGGTCCCGACGCAACCGAAAGGCAGCTCTTCGGCGTATTCTCAGCAATTGGTAAGCTACCCATCCGAGTACGCGAAGGCTAGCCCAGCTCAGCTACCGGAGCAATATCACATCGAGACATCGCCACCGAGATACCATCAACCACAACAACAACCGCAGCAACAAGTGGCTGCCTATCAGTCCATCGAAGAACCGGTTCAGTACCAAGCTCCAGCTGCGAAACAATTCATTCCGTCGCCTCAGTACGACTACGAAGCTGACGAGGCTCATCTGAGGGCCCTCGAACAGGCTCAGGCTCAGGCCCAAGCCCAGGCCGACGCGCAGGCGCTAGCCTATCAAAAAGTGGCCCAAGCTGCCCACAACAGACACCAGCAGGACGCCTTTGCGCAGATAAGGCTCTCGAACGAGCGTCACAGGCAGCAGCAGTCGGCTCTGCAGCAGCAGTCGGCTCTGCAGCAGCAATCGGCTCTGCAGCAGATCCAACAAGGCTCCCAGGTCAGCGATGCTGGACGTAACTACTTGTACGAGCAGCTGCAGCCGAAAGGCGCTGAGGCCGCTTACAGGGCGAAGGTGAAAGCTCAGACGACCGCCGAAGTGGCAGAGGCGAGGAAGTTGCAGCAGGCTGCAGAGTTCAAGGCGCACGCTGACGCCATCAAGAAACTAGAAGCGCAGCAACAAGCTCACATTAGGGTCCAAGAGGAGGTGCACAACTACGCTCTGAATTTCGAGAAGAACCAAGCCCGCGCCCAGGCTCTCGCTCAGGCTCAGGCTGAAGCTCTGTACAAACTCCAGGTTCAAGGACGCAACGAGGTTAACAAGGAGATCCTGGCGATATCCAAGGGTGAAGTAGAAGGAAAGAAAGCCGATCCTCACTCCCCAGTCTACCACTTCACTCTTCAAACCGTTAACGCTCCTCTGCCTGCGCCCAACAGCTACTTCAGTGCCGATCAGCTGCAGAAGTACCAGGCTTCAGGGTCCTCCCATGTTCCCAGGTCGGTTCCCAAACCCGAAGACCTGAAAGTGATAGAAGCAGCCCCGGTTGAAAGTCAATCTGCCATCACACAGCCTCGACAAACGCATAAACTTAAGATACCTTCCTCTGCTCAGTCTGTTTACGTATCCGAATCAGGATTGCTGAAGAAGTCGCCTATCAAGTCGTTGACTATAGAGCAGGTGGAGCCAGACAGCCACTCTGGTTTCCAAGCTGGTGCTTCTGGAGTACGAGCTTTAACGGAGGAGGATTTGTCTGCTTTGATCAATGCTGGGTACACGGTCACTCCGGTCTCGCAAACTGCGAAGCCTGATGAAGCGTACGCTGTGGAAAACTCGTCAGGTTATTATAGTAAGAAGCAGAGAGGCCCGGTCCAGAGACCTGATTACGTTACTTACGAGGAAGTGATCCAACGTCCGCGTAAATTGCTCAGGAAAAACAGGCCACTTGTGAAGGACGACAGAGTTGGCGAAGGTAGCGAGAAGGTTACTTATTTGGTACCTCTGGAATCCCCTTTCGGTACTAGACAACCCCCGCTCAAACACGAGGAATAATTCGGTTAATAACTTGAACTGAAGTATAGCTTATGTTTTTCATACCTGGTTTCTCGTTCCGATGTGCGTGGAACTGTTTTGGGATTCTGCAACACTGGAACGGGAATAAGAATTGGAAAAGTATTGGGTTATCTGTATATGCTTACTGTATATACGGTATACGGTCACTATTTACATATATATTAGGTTGTCCTAAAAGTTTCTTTCGTCAGTTGGATTCAATTATTTCTTAGACATTGTTGGTGTAACGGTAATGGAGCGAAATGAATTGTACACAATTCTGTAATGTAACATAAAACATTGTGTATGAATTAATTATTAATAAAACGAAAGAAACTTTTGGGACAACCTAATAGTATATATATATACAGAGAAATCCCTGGAATAAAAATAATAAATACTTGAGTCAATTAAGAAACAACAAGTTCATTTTTCTGTGCAAATGTTTCGGTAATGAAATACATTTTTAATTTAATACTCCTTTCTGAAGTAATTGTTAATGGTAGGTTAGCGACGATTTATTTCCTAAACTAAATTTTAGCCCAGCCTATATTTTTGTTTATACGTTTACGTTGATTGACAAATAGACATGCGTAATTTTGGTTGACGTGTTATTTATGGATTAAAGTTTCGAAGTTTGAATAGTTATTGGGTCTCGTGCGTTGTCAATCAAGATGGCTGATCCATAAAATGGCAGTTCTTTTAGCATGAAAAACGAAGTAACCAATTCTGTAGCGCGAATGAGTACAACGATGCTCTTTTATTACTTGTAGATGGTATGTGCGACGGTGCTAAGTCGACTAATTTTTATTTATATCTACTTTTTGTATATACTAGATTTTTACTTAATAAAACAGTTAAAAAATCATGTTTCCTGATGTCCGATATGTTTTATTTCGGCTAACGGGTCCTGTTGGTGTGTACTTTAAAGCCAATAAAATAAAGAACGATTCCAGTGTCATGTTTTTACTAATAATACTATTCGGATAGAGTATAAAACTATTTTTCTATGAACTTTATAAAATTTATGTATCGCTGGTGGTATTTTCATGGTCTCAAGTTAGTTTGAAAACAGTTTGTTCGAGACAAACAATTCAAATAATTTGTTTTTGCTATATATGACAGATATATTCATATTTTTTTATTTTTTTCTGCATATTCATATAATTTTACGCTGTAATTATCATAATTCAACTTCTAATTGTTGATATGAACACTAATAATTGACCGATCTTAAGTTTTTTAAATAAATAAAAATAACGGAAAATGTGGCGCCATCTCTCGGCGAACCGCTCAAGTTTTTCGTGAAATAGTTGCTACCTCGCACCGCTAGATATTCTAAACAAATTTTCTACTTTTATCTACATATATGTAAATATACGATTGCAACGAATTCAATGAATAATAAAAAATAATTATTAACAATTATAGCGCTGCTCATTCTTCTGGAGTAATTATATTTCCCATTCATTGTTTTAAAAGGCTTGTTTATTAGTGTAATATGACATTGGATATAACATAACTTCTTCGATTTATCCTTTATTTATTGATAATATAAAAGAATTACTATGTACGACAAGATTACAGGTGCTCCATTGGGCAGTATGAATTAGCTTTCCTTTCGCATCTATTAAAAGGAGATGAAGGTTTACCTCTCCCCAAAATAGGCCAAAATTATTATTTTTTGCAGATATATTCATTGTTGAGTTTACCGTGTTTAAATAATCTAACCACGTCAATTTAAATTGAAAAAATATTAACATTGACACGTACGTTCTAAATTCTTAATATTATATTTCTCTTTATGATAAAAATTGTTAGGCCTACTAATAAATTAAGGTGTTTTAACAATAATATAACGCTCAGTCTTGTGTTAATTATTCACTGTCTTAAACCATGTTTTGTGTTTCACAAACGTATACGAAAGCTCCTGCAAACACGAATAAATATGTTAATTAAAATTTCATTGTGATATTAGCATAACTATAAACATAACAAAATTAATGTAAGTTTTACTTAGAGAAATCATTGCTTTTTTCAATAATATGTTCAAATTCGGCAAAACTTAATGCACCATCGTCATCTAAATCTGCTTCATCTAATATACACTGTAGAATTTGCTGCATATCTGTTTCAGTTAATCTTTGAGGTGCAGTAAGTCTATCAACAACCTGCTTTAAATCTCCGATGCCAAGCATGTCATCGCCATCAAAATCTGTTTAAAATATATTAGTAAGTTTAAGAAACCTAATAAGATTGCATATGAAACATTACCAAATATTCTAAATGCATGCTCTGCTTTCACAGCTTTCGGAGCTGCATGGCTAAACACAGACATCATGTCCAAGAAATCTTCGAAAGTACAATCTCCATCTTGACTAGAACTGAAAACTTTACAAATCCTATCCCCAAAAGGATTCACTCTTAATTCAGGATACTGTAAAATTTTGGACATTGGAAGTTTAGCATTTTTATTGTGACCAACTTTTTCTGGAGCGAGAGCCTTAAACTTTTGATGTACGCTATTGTATAAAAGAATATTATAAAATTTAATTATTAACTTAAACGTCGACAGTTTTCTAAGAAGATTACGATTATAAATACACTTACTGCAAAACTTCTTTCTTTGTAAAATATGTCAAATCCTATAACAAAAAGTGATACTATAATATAAATAAGATTGATATAAGATATTTTATTACAATTGTAACGTCACCTGGTAATCTTGCAATTCGTCTTCGGTAAATTGGCTTGTACCTATTCCCATGTTTATCTACTTTTCAAATGTATTCTCGATCTCAAAATTACTTTAAGATATAGCAATACATATTTCTTAAAAACATTAAGTTTGTAATGTTCCAAAAAGCACGTTGGTTTTAGAGAGTGTAAAGATCGATAAACTCAAAACATCTTTCATCTCAAACGGTGTGAGTTTGTGTCCAGATCTGACGTTTATGACGTTTATGATGTGACGGCTAAGAACATGGACCATGGACATAGAAATAGGAACAGGGTCACACAGGGTCATCGGCCGGGAAGGGGGTGGTGCGATATGAGGCCAAGGGAGGAGTCCCATCGGCCATCTTACGTTGCTCTTTTATAGCGGGAAATTTAAATAGCGGGATATTGAAATATAATTGAAAATATGGTTATATGTTTGAAAAGAAATTTTTAGAATTTTAAAACTTTGCATATCTAATTTTTTGTTATAGTTTGATTAAAAACATACTTTACATATGAGTGTGTTTGTTTAAATAAAAAGGAATCCACTTACCTCAATTGCCGGAATATGGGAATTAAATTTTCAGAGTATATTAGCTATGCTAATGAATAGAAAACGCAGTAATTCCTTTTTATTTATACAATCACACTCATATGTAAAGTAGTTGCTTTAAAGACAAAGTCATAGATACATTGTAACCATTGATAGATTAAAAAGGTAACAAACTATAATACAAAATTAGATATACAAAGTGTTGAAATCCTAAAAATTTCTTTTCAAACATGTAATCATATTTTCAATTATAGTCCTATTTAAACTTTCCGCTGTAAAATAGCAACGCAAGATGGCCGATGACCATCCCCCTTGGCTTCATACTGAACCGCGTTTTTTCCCGGCCAATGCTCCGTCACTATATTTCTATGTCGTGGGTGACACGCACAGTTATTGAAGCGTCAATAAATTAGTATACCATGGTATACCATGTGTAATATACTTGTTAGTGTGAAATTGCTGTTGACAGTGTTGATAGTCTATATATTCGTTTTTAGCTTCATAAGTAAACAGTAGTATTTGAAAATAGGTACGTGACATTTTATATTCTTTATTTAAAAAATTGTTGTTCATGATTTGGTAACAGCTACATAGTATCACAATTCATTCATTGATAACATCTAAGAAAAAGTAGTTGCTTTAAAATAATGTATGAATATTGCTACAATATAATCATTCTTTTGTGACATACAAATTTATTTGGTAAATTATTTAAATCTTATATCAATACATAAGCTGAACTGTGTATACACAGTTTTCTAGGTTAAGTTTAATGCCATACTAGATTATAATTAAATAATTCTTAAATTATATTTATTCATGAAATGTGGAAATTCTTTGTTGTGTTCTTTATGAAAAGAAATGCAACTGAAAAAATATACATATATTGATTCTCATAATAGTAAGTTGAAAATACAAGACTATAAACCTCAATTTTTATTTAAATAATTTCAATGTCCAGAAATATTTTCTCAGATCAGGGTGTTTTGTATTTAATTACATGCCATACTTTGACGAGCTTCACTTACGGTCACAATTTCAGATCAAATAGAAATGTTATGAGTGAAACTTTTGATCATACTTTCAGGTCAAACATGAATATCATGAATGAGACTTTCGGCTATACTTTCAAGCCAAATATGAATATCATCTGTGAGACTCTTGGTCGCACTTTCAGACCAAATGTGAATTACCGTGCGTGAGTTTGTGTTGTTAAGTTTTGAATTAACAGCTTACCAAGATAGAAATAAACATGGTTCAGTTCTTATTCATTTGGCAAGCATCTGCCTGTACTAGAATGGCAGTATTTTTTCTCAGTAAACAATATGACAAGAGGTTAATTATTATTCCTTTGTGCTCTATTTTAACTGCTTGTTAATCAACAATTCTAACTTGCTTTTGTTAGATACTATGCATATCGAATGTATGATTTACAAATAACAATTAATATAAAGATAAAGATAACATAATAGATAAGATAAAGATAACATTATTAAATTGTTCTGTAAAATTCATTAGCAAGAACTCATAGATTAATTATGTAAGGTGATCAGTAAGTACTGAAATTTGTATTGCAAAACTTGTATTCTTCATCATTAGTATCATAGCTTTTTTTATAATTAAACCTTCTTAAACTAAGTTAAATAGAAATGAAAAATGGTTCCAATTGTAAAAGTTCATTTAATTAAGCATGATAACATTTTAACTTACAAAGGTATCTAAAAAAACAAATGCTGTTACAACTATAATTTCATTAAAACTGTAAACTCAGTTTTTTTTTACTAATAAGAGTATGATTATTTTTAATGGTTAATGATTTCAGTTGCTTCAATTTTTTGAGGATTTTCTAATTGGATTATAGAATGGGTTTGATCTTTTGAGAAGAAAACAGAGACTTGTAGGGTTTTTGAGTGATCCTCAAGGTTTTTAAACAGAAAGCTATCTCTGTTTTGATGCACTCTATTTTTTTAATCTGTGACATTATCAATTTTGATTAAAGCAGAGGACTAGCAATAACATGATCAAAGAATCAATGTTTACAACAAAAACTAAGTGTAATTTATCTGTAGCATCTGTAGCATAGGCATCTTATCAGTTATCAAATATTGATTGGAACTTTTCAAGAATATCACGTGTATTTATGTCCTTCAAAATTTGTTTAAGAAATTTCATAAAATTTTGTGCTTTTGTAAAGTGTACTGTTCTCTTATGAGAGGAGACATTTTCTAGTGGTTTCTGTCATCGATGATATAGAGTTTCATCTGCTTTATTCTTAACGCTTTGTCTACTAATTTTAGTTTGTGTATGACTGACATCAGAATTTTAATTATCTAGCGAATACTACGCATATAATGTTACAATGTATGGCACTTTTCAAAACATCAATTAATACGTAAACTGAGTTGATGTTTCTGAGTTATAAAGTAATAAATTTTTAGTATACAGGATGGGGCAATAACTATTAGCACCTAAGATATCTTCGAAACCAGAAGTCTTACAGAAATATTTACTGAAATAAAATTTCACAGTCGTGATAGAACTCATTGTAAGATCCTCTGTCGTGATACGGAAACAAAAGCATCTCGATCCATTTAAAAAAATGGAGGATGGGTCCCTTCATACTGTGCAAATTTATTTGAGTAAATATTTCTGTGGAGCTTATAATTTCGAAGATATCTGAGATGCTAATAGTCATTGCCTTACTCTGTATAAAGGTAGTAATTCGAAGAAAAATATCTACGTCCTTACTATCTATTTAAAAAAAAATAAAACTTATATATGCAGCGTGTTTTGTTTAAGCGGAATGTAAATATCGCATGAGGGGATAAAGCTATTAAAAAAATGTTTTTCTAATTTAAAAATCTTATCCATTACATCGCTTGTAACAAAATGATTTACTCCATATTATATACCCCATTGTACCAAATAACTTTTGTAAAAACGTTGTTTGATCGACGAACACATATATGCATTGATCGTTTGCAAAGGGTTAAAATGTAGTACATACAACTTCTACTCAATGATTTTGTTAATATTCTCATAATCAGTTTGATTGATTAATTCATGATCATGGCCTATATAAATAAGAAGTAAAATGAAGATGTTTCTTGTTTCAGGAGCAAGTAACTCATTACCATTAAAAGAAATACAATTTTTATCAAGATGATTTTAACGTTCTTATATATGATAGCAACTTCGCTACAGTCTAAAAGGATACTGTTTTTAAAAGCACATCTACGTAATTTGTTTCAAGGGAATGCAACTAATTATCCATCAATAATGTTTTATAATAAATCACTGTTAGATTCATGTAAAGGTAATATCATACTAATATATTTTGAAACTGTAGTATATGTTATTTCGTTCAACGGTAATACTAGTTTCGACTACATAATACAATTTAAAAATTTTTGAAAATTATATATTCATGCAATCTGTTTAGAGAAAGTTATTTATCTGTTTTTAATTTGAATAGTTTACCTAATAGTGTACCTAAATAAATAACGATGTAAAAGATGCTCAAGATTATTGAGAATAATTTGATTAAAACATTGATATAAGTAAATCATTTATTAACATGAATCTTAATACCGTTAATAATACTGACATTTTATACATGTTGAATATATTTTCAAATTGTATTAGTAAAAGTCTCCAGATTATAGTTATGAAACTTATTGCAACTCAACGTTTTATTTCTTCTTAGAAACCATTTTAGAATTTAACAAAATTACTACAGAAGTCATTTTATCGAAAATACTTCTCTATTAATGTTGCATACGAATTTTTCATTTACAAACATACTACATAGTACAAATATTTATCTTCGGTGTTGTTTCAAATTCCTCTTTATACATCCAATTTTTATTTTTCTAATATTAGATCTCGTAGTACTTAATTGCAGCATTATGTAATCATATTATCGCCGTATCGTACAAATTAGAATTTACATTAACACGTTGATTGCCAGGCAAAATTTATCAGTTATCACGTAAGACTGTGATTTATTGCTGTTTTGTATTGTACTACAAGATCCTTGATTCTTGTTACCTCTAGGTAATAGTGCATCGTTTGACGCATGTTTAATGAAAATGTTTACCGTTATATTTATAAAGAATTTTATAATGAATTTTTGATGATTTTTAACTTGTTGCACTAACTTGTCATGTCAAAGTTTCTTATATTCGTTTTATAATTAGTGTTTTATATTCAATAACAAAATAATTTATATTCGAATCCCATTTGGAATTTTTATTTTTAACGCTTTGACTGCGAAGGACGAGTATATAGGCTTTCGAAAAATGGGTTCAGAGAAATTCGTTAAATCAAGTTTAAAAAAATATCAGCTTATAGGTGACGATTAGACGAAACTTTTTTATATTTACAGTTTATTTATAGGATGCTTAGTTTCGAAAATAAAAATTGAAAAGTTGGAAGTTCGTTGGAAAAATTGAATTTCAGGAAAAAGGTCTTCTGAGTTTTCAATTTTTATTTCCGAAACTAAACATCGTATGAATAAACTTTAAATATAAGGCAATATATATTTCGGAGGTCGTTTGCAGACATTCAAACACGTAGATAATTCTACGGTAATAAATCTACATATTCAGAACGCTCTTTTACATTTTTACGACTAATTAGAAACATTCTAGCACTTTTAGGGTGATGGAGTACTTTGGCTTTTATCTAAATTCGCGTTGGACAGTGTTGTCTTTTATGGCAGGTAGCAATTATTTAATTATTTTCAGTTTGTTTATATTTCCATTAGTATTAGTTTGATA